TGAGGACATCTGCCCTCACTCTTGGCAAGGCCTCCCACCTCTATGTTCCTGGTTCTTCGTGGGCATGACAGGGGCCCCCTGTCTCTGCCCAGGTGCTATGTTCCACCTTCTCAGTGGTGTTCAGGTCCCGCAGCCAGCAAGACCTTTCAGTGCACCTTTGCCTTCCCCTTGCTTCTCTTTGATCTGCCAGAGCCTGTAAGATTTGCTGACCTCCAGTGTGATCCAGGGCTGAAGTGCCTTTTCTGGCTCCTGGTTTCAGGATCCAGAATCTAGTCAGCTTCGTTCCATGTGTCCAGGACCCTGCTCCTTGACTAAGGGTGATGAGCTCCCACCAGGACCTGTGGGACTGTGAGCTCTGGGTTTGGACAGTAGAAGACTCACAAAGCTGCTCTTTGTCAATCACCAGCCCTGGACAGGGGGTAGCAATACAGCTGTGTCAAGGATCTGGGTCATGGTGAATTATTTGCCGATAGTATTCCATAGCCTGAGAAATCTCTTGACCAAGACTCCATGCAGAGCCCTGAGTATGGGAGTTACACCATACAAGACAAGGGTGACCTGAAAGAGCAGAGGGTAGGGAGCATGGTCCAAGCAGTGGGGTGGCAGGGGTCAGGGTGAGGGGGACAGGAGGGGCCCCAGGATACACTCTAGAAGTAAGCCTTATTGTGCATACTCTTCTCAAACTTCTGCTTGAGCTCAGAGACAAGAGTTGACTGGGTAGGGCTTCCCGTGGTTTTGGGTCTCGGTGGCACTTGGGATTGCTGGGGAGTGAGTGACCCAGAGACTGTGGGCACAGTCCAGTGGGCCGCTCCTGTGCGGGGGGCCATGCTGGGTGGTGGAGGCAGGGCTGGGGCACTGGGGGGCAGGGAGCTTTCTGGGCTATTGTTGTTGAAGTTCTCATTGGGAGGATCTTTGAGAATGAACTTGGTGGCAGCCTTGGCACTCCTGGACTTGAGCCACTCTACACGGACGGCACGGGGTGCAGGGTTGGACCGCCTGCGGAACACACGTCGTACTGGCAGCACCCTGTTGGACTTCTTGTTGCGCCAGAAGGTGGCAGTTGAGATGATGACAGTGATGGCCACGACGGTGGCCATGATGCCGGCCAGCACACCCACAGCCTTCATGGGGTTGTCCTTGGTCTGTACCAGGAAAGCGGCCATGGGGCTTCGAGATAGCGTCTGGAAGAGAGAGCCACCCCCTCCACTGAGCACTTCCTGCCCAGGCCCTGAAGGACCCAGCAGGGCAGGAGCTTCCTTAAGCCTGATGGTTTTTACACTTTCTGGGGTCAGAGACCAATTTGAGAATCTGACAAGACCTACGGACTTCAGTCCAGGAAAATGCACACAGAGAGAGCATGGCAGAGCATTTTCTAGAGAAGTGGACTCAGCCTGTCCTTTAGAGTGTAGGACACTATTTACCCTTGATTATGAGGGGCCTATCCACCCACATGTATCAGGAGTCCCTTAAGTGACTACTTTTCTGCAGGGCACTGAGCTGAGAGCTACATATAAAAATTTTCTATTGAGTGCAGTGGCTCATACCTGTAATCCTAGCACCCTAGGAGGACAAGGGAGAGCTCCTGAGATTGAGCCCAGCCTGAGCACAGTGAGACCCCATCTCTACTAAAAATAGGAAAACTAACTAGGGGTCATAGTGGGTGCCTGTAGTCCCAGCTATTCAGGAGGCTGAGGCAAGGGGATCACTTGAACCCAAGAGTTTGTGATTGCTGTGAGCCATGATGTCACAGTACTCTACCCAGGGCAACTGAGTGAGACTCTCTCTCAAAAAAAAAAAAAAATTTCTTTCTGCCTTCCATGTCTCTGTGAAGGAGACATTATTATTCCCATTTTATAGGAAAGGAAATAAAGGCTTAGCAAAGCCCAAAGTCACACCATTGGTAAGTATTGAAATTAGAATTTTAACCTGGTTGGCTCAGGCCACCTTCTTAGCATGGAGTGTCTTTCGGTGGAAGGCTGCACACAATCCTCCTCCCTCTGCCCACACTGCAGAGACCTGAGCTGATCCTTTGACCTCTTTTCCTGACCGTGGCTCTGTACCCACCTCAGTGTCTGTGATGTCAATCTTGAGTAAGGCTGTGGTGCTGAAGGAGGGGGAGCCGCGGTCCTTGGCCTGCACCTCTAGGGACCACGTGCAGTCCCCGCCGGGCGTAATGTTGTGCAGGGCATCCAGGGAGCGGATTGAGTTCTTGAGCCAGATCTCCCCTGTGTGTGCGTTGATGTCAAACACGTTGACTGGCTCTGCATGGGTGATGGAGTAGTCCACAAGGTTGTTGGGTTCTTCCGCATCCTCGTCTGTGGCCTGTGCACAGGAGAGACTGACTCAAGGTGGGCTTTGGGGACCAGACCTGGGCACACTGTCTAAATCAGACGTCCTAAGGGGCTTGCTGGATTGATGATATTTCATCCCAAAATATGATTCCTGGGGAGGAAGACTTATGAATTAAAGGCCCCTAGGGTCAACAGGCCTTGAAGGCCACCTTTTCTCTTTCTTCATTAAAAAAAAGACCCATCAGAAAGAACAATTGAGGCCAGCCAGTGGCCAGCCTCACATCTGTAATCCTAGCACTCTGGGAGGCCAAGGTAGGAGGATCACTTGAGCTCAGAGCTTGAGGCCAGCTTGAGAAAAAGTGAGACTCTGACTATACTAAAAAATAGAAAAATTAGCTGAGCATGGTGACAGGCATGTGTAGTCCAGCTACTCCGGTGGCTGAGGTAGGAGAATTGCTTAAACTGAGGAGTTTGCTGTTGCTGTGAGCTAGGCTGATGCCATGGCACTCTAGCCTGGGCAACAGAGTGAGACTGTATTAGAAAAAAAAAAGAATTGACTTTGCATGCCCTCCCCATTATCTCAATATATTGCAATAAGGAATATCAAGAATGCAAACAGAGCTGGTACAACCCATTTTAAAGATAACACCTGGCCAGGTGCAGTGGCTCATGCCTGTAATCCTAGCATTCTGGGAGACTGAGGTGGGTGGATTGCTTTAGTTCAGGAATTTAAGAATAGCCTGAGCAAGAGTGAGACTCCATCTCTACTAAAGATACAAAAACTAGCTGGGCACTGTGGCTGGAGCTGTAGTCCCA